TTAACCATCTGAGCCACCCAGGCACCCCTTACTTCATTGAGTCTTAAGGGGATAGTGATCACAACCCCATCAGGGAGGGGTTTCAGAATCACTCCTAGGGGACATGTTCAAAATATACCCTCCTGTCATCTCCAATCTGTGCTTGGAGAGCAACCTTTGTCATTCTCCCTTGCTTACTGTGCTCCAGCCACACTTTCTTCTGTCCTTAAACATGCCAAGTTCATTAACATCTCAGGATCTTTTGCACCTGCTGTTCTGCCTGAAATCAACTCATCATTCAGGCATCAGCTCAAACATCACCTCCTCACTGGTGACCACCCCAGTCCCTCTGACAAGTCATACTCTGTCTCATTATCCTGTTTTATCTTCTTTTTAGCATTTTATCACTATTAGAAATTATCTTGGTTTTTGTCTATTACTCCTCATAAGGGCTCCAAAAAAAGCAGTGTTTCTGAATTGTTCATTGATGTATCCCCAGTGCCTAGAATAGAGCCCAGTATATAGTAGGTACTGAATAAATATTAAATGAATGAATCCCCACTGTCACCCTTGGTTCAGGCTAGTCTCGCTGCATCCAGATCTTCTTACATAAATCAGATTGCTTCCTAAAATACCCTGTGACCCTACTGCCCACAGAATAAAGTCTAATCTTCTCAAATAGGTATCCACACCTGCCACCATTTAGACTGCTCTCCCCTCAAACTCCCACACCTGCCATTCTCATTGACACCACTCTTCCCACCCCATTCCCATCTTTAAGTACACAGCCTTTCCTGCTGGGAATGCCTCCTGCCTATCCATTCATTTAAATATAAAATTTCAAGGCTGAACTGACCCTGGCTTTCAGATTAGGCCTTCCCAACCGTAGCTTTATTATACCCGCTATATAAAGTATGTTTGAATTAGACTGTTTATTTCTACTCTTTAAAAAATCCTCCCTAAGTCCCCAGGATAGGGTTTGAGTAGGGTTTGAGGCAGAGGAATGAGATCAGAGAAGAAGGAGGGGCCTGACCTGGGGAGTGGGTCTCAGTTTTGTCCCCAGGGAATATAAAGAGTAAGGTTTCTCACTTTTCTATGTGACAGCCCTTGAGAAAATCAGAGACCACATTCACCCAAGTCTGCTGTTCTGTAGGTGACACAGCCCCAGTTCCTCAGTTCCTTCTTAAAATGGGGTACCCAGAACTTGCAGGTGAGCACTGATTTAGAGGAGTAGAGGACTATCAGCTTCTCCCTTCTGGAGTCTATCAAGGAAGACAGTCATTTTAACTATTTGGAAGCCCTTCCAAACTGCTGACTCATTCTGAGAGTGCGATCAATTAAATATCCCAAATCAACTCAAGTATAGCTTACCTATCAAACCTGACACTGGTCCCTGCTTTTTTGTTTTGTTCTTTCCAGATTTGGTAAGATCTTTTTGAACGTTGACTCTGCTGCTCAGGATCTCAAAGAGATCTCAGCTTCTTTTGTCATTCATGAATTCATTGAACTGTCACTCATTAATTTAAAAAAAAGTATAGAATTGAGAGAAGAGCCCTGTGGGAGATCACTGGAGACTTATGGAACGGAATAGCATCTCTGTATGAAAAGCCTTACCCAATAAAAAAACACACAACAGTTTCAATGCCTCTCCCATCTCTGACCAGTATTGTTCTTGCCCTCAGAATGCCAGCCACAGCATCCCCTGCGCCTAGAGACACCCACCAGACAGTGAAGTCTAAGAAGGGGGTGGGTTCCAAAGGACTCTGGCCAATCTCTGCTGTTTCTGACCCCCCTCCTCCCTGGAGACCTCCCCTTTCATCCTCCACCCCAAGGGCAGCTCCTCTGTGTCCTTTTAGGAGTGTGAAGTCTTCTGAGGCTATGATCTTCCCAATAGCAGAGATTACACCATTTATGGTTTTTTAACCCACTTCTTTTGAGAAGCCATATGGACCAACCCGAGCCTACAGCATAGCAGATTCTCCTTTATCTCCCTTTCCCCTGCTTTATCTCTCCTTCCAAACCCTCTGCGATCTGGCTTCCCCCCTTCACTACTCCCAAATGTTGTTTTCGGGATTCTTCAGCCTTAATGTTAGTGATTTCTCTTCAAAACTTTGTTGAACCTAACTCTTTTTTGAAACTTTCTCCTCCTCTAGTGCCTGTGCCTTCACTCTCCCCTGGTTTTCCTCCTATTTTCCTAATTCTTCTCAGAACCTTTGAGTGTTGCTCTGCTCACCCTTAAATCATTGTATCCTCAGGGCTCTCTGTCCTTGTTCCCTTTACAACTCCACACATTCTCCCTAGGTGCTCTCATCCACTCAAAGTTTTAACTACCTCTGTTATTCTGATGACTCTGATCTTGGTGGTCTCCTGACCCCCAAGGCATCCTTTCCAATCCACCTTTCCCCCAAACAACCAGTGATCTTTCTAAAATGCAAAAAAACCATGCCACTAAGCTGTTAAAAAACAAAATGCCACTTCCCTGATTAAAATCCTTCAATAGTTCCATCCACACCCCACCATGGCTATATCAAATTATTTGCAGTTTCTGGAAAGCATCAAGTTATTCTGTACCTTGTTGGTTTTATACGGACTACTGTATGAACCTAGAATGTTCTTCTCACAAGTGTCCACAAAGCCTGTTCCTCATCCTGTTTCTAGACTGGTTTTATTTATTTATTTATTTTTAAAGATTTTATTTATTTATTTGACAAAGAGAGTTAGTGAGAGCAGGAACACAAGCCGGGGAGTGGGAGAGGGAGAAGCAGGCTTCCCGCCGAGCAGGGAGCCCGATGCGGGGCTCGATCCCAGGACCCTGGGATCATGACCTGAGCCGAAGGCAGACGCTTAACGACTGAGCCACCCAGGCGCCCCTAGACTGGTTTTAAATATAAATTCTGTTAGCACTCCTTCTCTGACATTTTAGTCTGTCTAGAGAGCCCTCTCATAGACCAGTACTGGACACCGTCATCTCTGGTTTTTGTTTTTAAGTAGGCTCCAATGCAGGGCTTGAACTCACGATCCTGAGATTGAGACCCGAGCTGAGATCAAGAGTGGGCAGCTTAACCAACCGAGCCACCCAGGCGCTCTCCCCCCTCCCCCAACTCTGTGTTTTTAATTATGTTTCCTTTTCTGTTTTCATCCTTAGTCAGAATTCCTTGAGGCTAGAGACTGTCCCTCACATCTCTCCATCACCAACATTTAACATAGAGCATTTATAAAACAATTATTTAAATGTAATAAAATAAACAGGGAAAGAGCGGGCCCAGGAGGCTTAAAAGTCAAGTGTCTGGTTTCAGGCTCTTTGAAAAGCGGCAACAATCACTGATCAAAGAATGAACTTCACTGACTTGCAGTGTGGTTTGCCTAAGGGACATATCCCTTAAGCACTGCAAATTCCTAAATGTCCCAAACTGAACTTGGGCTTTATCCCTTTTCCAGAAAATCCACTTTACATCAGTGTCTGTGGTCCCTATTCACGTACCATCATCTTTCCAGTCATCCAGGCTTATAATCACAACTGTCTGCGTACTTCCTTTCCCGATATATCAGTCTCTGAGTCCTGATAATTTCAGTGTATTTTTTATCTTTCCCCCCATTACAACTGTCAGACATGACCTGGACTGGAAAGATGATGGATCTAGGCTGAGGAACCTTTAGCGGTTATGGAGGGGGTGGTTGCCAGGGCCCTATCATTGAGGAGGCCATGCATATATTCTGGTATTCTCCAGCCTCTATGTTCCTTACCGTCAGCTCTAGCTCTTGCATCCTTCTGGGTATGGCTGTTGGCTGGGCTCCCTGGGAGAGCAGGCCCTGGATCCATCAGCTGGGCCAAGGGGCCTTGCCCAGCAGCTCTGAGGCTAGCAGGTGGCATCTCACTGGCCTGGGGGCCCTGACAGACCTGGGTGGACCAGGGCTCTGGGCCAAATAGGTCCATGCCCGGCCCCGAGGGCATGGGCGGTAGGCTGTGGCTACAGCGAGTGCCCTCGTCCAGTGGGCCCACCCTATCTTGCTGGGCTTCTTGGATGGGTGAGAACTCCTGGGAGGAGTCCCCAACGCTCACTCGAAGCGGCGGGGAGCCAGAGCCTGCAGCTTTCTTCCGGCCCTTGGCGAGCTCAGCAAAGGAGGTGACCCGCCGAGGTGGGGAGCCAGAGCCAGCGAGGGCTGCAGGACCCTCACTCAGGCGCACTGGGCAACTCAACATGCGCTCCAGTGAGCCCAGGCGGACAGGAGGGCTGCGTGCGAGGCTGCGATCGCAGCTTCGAGAGCGCTGGCGTCCAGTGCTGAGGTTGGGGGGCGAGGTGTTGGTGTACACTTGCCCCTCGATCACGGTGGGGCCCACAGGTGCCGCTGCTTCCACCAAGGAACCCACCGCTCCTTGTTCCTCTGGCTGGACTTCTGGCCTCTGGAATAGGTAATACTCAGAGGGCTGGCTGGGGCCAGGGTCTGGGCCGGGGCCTGGCGCAGGGCTTATCTTGGTGTGATCCTCAGAGCAGCTGGTGACGGAAGAGCCAGCTGGGCTTGGGGATGACTGGGAGGACAGGTCACAGGTGACAAGTTTATAGTAATTCTGTGTGGCCACAACGAGACGCGCCTGGCTCTGGAAGCAGGCCGTGAGGTCGGCCACCCCTGGGCAGGGCTCACAGTGTGGGCGGTAGGAGTTGCAGTTGGCATCGAGCTCGGGAGATGAGGCATGAGGGCAGCCGTAGCTCCCTTCCCTGCCTCCGCTGTCCGGGTGGTGGGACTCACAAGACATCTTGGACTCGGCTGGGGAGGGCTGCAGGTCCAGGTAGAAGGCGCCAGGGTCTGAGCGGCTGCAGAAGGAAGAGCTGCTGCACGACTGTGGGGCGGCGTTGAGGTTGGCGCGGGAGCTGCCGTGCGTCTTGCTGTAGAGGGTGCTGAAGGTGACCAGCACGCCCTCCGAGCTGTTGCAGGAGGAGTCACTCGCGTAGCCCATGGACTGGTCAGCCGCCTCGGACGGGCTGGAGGCGCTGCTGCAGCGGCGGTGCCGAGGCCCCGAGCCCGAGCAGCCTGGGTTCCTCGGCGATTCATCTGAACTGAGCTTCCAGTCCTGATCGAAGGAAAAGCCCGACGTCTCACTGGCTCCGCCCCCACTGCCAGGTCCCCCACACTCGTCCAGCTCCATGGTCTCTGCTTCCAGGTCTGGCCGGCCGCAGTGGCTAGTGCCGCAGTGCTGGGGATGCAAGGCGGCCCTCGGCTCCTGTTCCTGCCCCTCCACTACTCCAGCTCGACTACGTGTCGCCCCCCACGGCCTGCCCGCCCCAGGGCCAGGTGGTGGCAGCTGGAAAGGGGACAGATGGAAGGTGGGCTGACCTGCCCCGTGCAGGTGGAAGGACTGCTGGGTGGCACCGTCACCAATGCTGTCATCACAGAGGTCACCAAATCCTGGCTCGGCCACACCCTCCTGCAGCAGGAAAGGATTGTGTCGTTTAGGGGCCCCGGGGCCTCTTCCATCCCGAACCCTACTCTTTGTGCTGTCTGCAGGCCGTGCGGATCCCCCTGGGGCAGAGTGCAGACTGTTGTACAGCAGCGAGTCAGCTTGTCCTAGGTCTTGATCAGGCTGGCTGGTGCCCAGGTCCGGGGGGCAGAAAGGGTTGGATCTCGTGCTCCCGCTACCTCCACCTGTCCCTCCACAGCACTGCCTATCTGGGACTTGGCAGTGCACCAGGGGGATGTGGTGGACGATGAGGGTCTCTCCAGTCAGCTTTGGGGGACTATCCATTCTGGAAATTCCGAACAAGGGCATCAACAGCACCAGACACTGCCCCCGGAGCCCAGTGGGGCAGAACACATTTCATCAGGAGAGCTTGGCACCTGGAGAGAGAGGGAAAGAAAGGGAACCTAATGTCACCTCCCTGGAAGTCAGGGACAAGCCCTTCCCCATAGCATTTTCAGAGGGAAAAGAACCCAAGAGGAGAAACGACTCAGAGTCAAGGTGGAGCGTGATAACACAGCCCGACAGGGCCGGGCTACCCTGCCCTACTTTCTGCACGGGTCCAGCTCTTGAGTGCCCCCTTCATTGGCCGTGCACCCACTTGTGATAAAAGGCAAGCTCCTTTTCATGCCACCTACAAAGGTCTGGGGGATCTCAAGGACAGCACTTTCTCCTTTTCTTTCAAGGACAAGTTCTTAGCAGTAAACAATGACTAGTCCCAAGTACAAAACAAGTATGAATAGTACCTTAGAAAAACCATCTAGGAAGACCAAAAGGGTGCTCGGCACTGAGGAGGACAGGGAGGTGCCTTAGACCCAGCTTTAGCTTGCAAGCTCTCAGATAAGGGGAAAATCATGAAGATGAACTATATCATGGACTCATAGCAATAAGCTATTAATTTTGCAAGAAAACTATTTTTAAATTATTCTGTATTGTTTGCCCCCATGTCACCTCATTTTCTCCTCTGAGCCCCAGAATGCTCATCCCTCTCTGCTGGCTGTGGGCTAATGATCCTCACTCTCCCTACTACTGTCCTGGAGCTGCTGCTTCTTTTTTTTTTTTTTCCTTTTTTCAAGATTTTATTTTTAAGTAATCTCTGCACCCAACATGGGGTTGGAACTCACAACCCCGAGATCAAGAGTCACATGCTCCGACTGAGCCAGCCAGGCGCCCCTGTCCTGGAGCTTCTTGAATACAGAGACCGAGTTGGTCATTAGAGTGACTTGACTAAAAGTATGGGTGATGCCAACCTCTTCCTTCTCACTGAGGGGGTGGGTGTCTATTTCTATCTCTTGTATCACCCAGGCACACAGAAGTCCTAGCAAACATGATAGGCCTAATACATTCTTGTCCAGTTCAGGATACAGATCTTCTGAAGTGCCCAAATTCTGTCCATTTTCAGTCCAGAACTTTCACTATGGGGGTCCCCTAGAAAGTCTTCTCTTCCCAGTTTTTCCTCCAATAGGCTAAGGTAAAGCTCTCTCCTATTCAAGGTCTCCTGGTCCCAAGCACACAGAGCCTATTCTGAGCTTCTCTGGTCTGCTGGCTGGACTGCGACAGAACGGCTTCCTCAAATTCTAGTCTCCTGTGCTACCAAATTCAAGTCCTAATAGTCCTTGCTTGCTCAGACTCCTCTTATCTAACTTCTGCTAATTCATTCATTTCTCTTCCCTCCCTTTTTATTCTTGTCATTTTCCTTCCACCCACTGTGAATCTAAATTCCTCAATGCCTGAGTTTTCCACCATTTAGTTGAATACTTAATACCACCAATTTTTAAAAATTTAACTCATTTAGATTACAGGATCACAGCTCTTCCCATGTGGAGTACGAAAAGATCTAGGCAAGTCACACATGCTCAAGGACATGAACAGGCAATACATAAATGAAAAAATTCAAGTGGCTGATAAATAAGTGTGTGAGGAATTCAGTTTTAAAAATTCTTTTATAAATTAAATTACATCAAAATTAAAAAGCAAGTGTTTATCCTCTCCCCTCCCTTTTCTTTCTGAGAGGAAGACTTCTTGGTTGGACTCCCAACCCTTTGGGAGTTGAATGAGGATAATGAGTCGATACAGAGAAAGGTAGAAACCAGAGAGGCTAAACTGAGCTACAAGGTTTGAGTTCTAGAAGAAAACATGGGAATAAACATTTGTTATCTTGGATTGGGTGATGGTTTCTTAGATATGACACCAAAAGCACAAGTGACAAGTGAATAGAGAAGGTGGGCTTCATAAAAATTAAAAACCTTCGTGCCTCAAAGGATACCATCAAGAAAAGACAACCCACAAAATGGGAAAAAATATTTGCAAAGAGATTACTGATCAAAATATATGAAGAACTCTTACAACTCGGGGCACCTGGGTGGCTCGGTTGTTAAGCTCGCTGTGTCTCTCTCTCTGTCAAATAAATAAATAAAATCTTAAAAAAAAAAGAACTCTTACAACTCAATGATAAAAAGACATATAACTCAATTAAAAACTGGGCAAAGAACTTGAATAGACATTTCTCCAGAGAAAACTTACAAATGGCCAATAAACACATGAAAAGATGCTCAACATCATTAGTCATCACAGAAATGAAAACCACATTGAGATACCACTTCATCCCCACCACGATGCCTAAGATAAAAGACAGACAGTAACAAATGTTGGTGAGGATGCGGAGATATTGGAACCCTCAACCTTGCTGGAGGCATGGTAAAATGGTGGAGCCACTTTGGAAAACCAGTCTGATCTGACAGTTCCTTAAAATGTTAAACATACAGCTACCATATGACCCAGCAATTCTACTCCTAGGTATATACCCAAGAGAAAACACATGTTCACACCAAAGCTTGTATATTAATATTCATAGCAGCATTCACAGTAGCCAAAAAAAGTTGGAGCAAGCCACTGTCCATTAACAGATGAATTGGTTTTGTTGTATATGCCTTCTGTCCATTCTGTATATGCCACTGCATATGGGAGAGGATAAACATACTGTGATACAGGGGCACCTGGCTAGCTCAGTTGGTAGAGCATGTGATTCTTGATCTCAGGGTCTAAAGTTCAAGCCCCACACTGGGTGTAGAGCTTACTTTATTTTTTAAATTTGGTTTCTCTTTTTTCTTTTCTTTTTTTAAGATTCTATTTTTAAGTAATCTCTTCACCCAAAGTGGGGCTCGAACCAACAACCCTGAGATCAAGAGTTGCGTGCTCCACCAACTAAGCCAGCCAGGCGCGCCAGTGTAGACAGACAGGTGATAGATAGATAAATAAATAGATAGTTAGATAGACAGATAGCTAAAGCTACAACAAAAAAACTGATGTTAAAAAAGTAATTTTGATATATACATGCAACAGAATATTATTTAGCAATAACAGGAATCAGGTAGTGATCCATGCTACAATATGAATGAACCTCAAAAAGGTAAGTGAAAGAAGCCAGTCATAAAAGGCTTCTTTGTATGATGTTGTATGATTCCATTTATATGAAATGTCCAGAATAGGCAAATCCACAGAAACAGAAAATAGATTAGTGGTTGCCAGGGACTGGAGGACTGGGGAATGGGGAGTGACTTCTAATGGGTAATGGAGGTTCTTTCTGGGGTGATGAAAATGTTCTGAAATCATTTGGTGGTGATAATTATGAAAGTCTGTGAGTAAAATCAAAACTATGGATTTTTGTGGTACGTGAATTATATCTTAACAAAGCTGTTATTTAAAGCCTTTTTTAAAATAGAAAAAAAAGATTAAGATTTATGAGAAGAGGAAAGGAGAGGTGAGGAAGGGAATGGGTATTGACTGGTGGAGGGGATTGGGCATTTTCAGAGATAAACTGAGAAGGAAAAAAGAGAGACAGCTGCCTTAAAGTATGGGATACTGTTGAGAGAAATAAAGAGGATTTTTAGGAAGTTTAGCTATGAAGTACATGAGATAATTTTCCCTTCACTCTTCCCCATCTCTTCTCTTCCTTCACCAAGAAAACTTGGGTTCAAATAAAAATGCTACAAGGATAACAGAAAGTTGGAAACAACTTAAAATTCCAGTAATAACAATCAATAAAAAAGTACAGAGCAGAGTATCATTAAAATAATGTGTTAATATGATTACTGGCTTGAGAAAATGTTCACAAAATATTAAGTAAAACTGCAGATTACAAACAGCATGTAGAGTATGACACCATTTTTGTAAATAAATATATGTCTGTATGTGTCTTAGTCTGTTCAGGTTGCTATGACAAAACATCTCAGACTATGTGTCTTGTAAACAGCAGAAATTTATTTCTCATAGTTCCAGAGGCTGGGAAGTCCAAGATCAAGGTGCCAGAATGGCTGCATTCTGCCCTCTTCCTTGTTCATGGCTGGCACCTTCTAGCTGTGTCCTCACATTGTGTAAGGGACAAGTGATCTCTCTGGAGCCTGTTTTGTAAGAGCACTAACGCCATTCATGAGGGCTTTGTCCTCATGAGCTAATCGCCTCCCAAGGCCCTATCTCTTACTATCACTACCTTTGGGGGTTAGGATTCAACATATGAATTTTGGGGGACACAAATATTCAGACCATAGCAATATGCATGAAAGAAAATTTGAAGGCATATACAACAAAATATTAATAGTGCTTATCTCTGTTGAGTGATTTTGGATTATTTTTAATATTACTCTTTCTGTTTCATCTGTATTTTTAAAATTTTATTTAAATTCAATTCATTAACATATAGTGTATTACTAGTTTCAGAGGTAGAGTTCAGTGATTCATCAGTTGCATACAACACCCAGGGCTCATTACATCACATGCCCTCCTTAATGCCCATCACCCAGTTACCCCATCCCTCTACCCACCTCCCCTCCAGCAACCCTAGTCATCTATATTTTCTAATTTGTATATAATAAATATCTATTATGTACATAATTTAAACAGTTTTGTTTTTTCTCTCTCTCTCTTTCTTTTAGAGATGGGGGGCAGAGGGACAGGGAAAGAGAGAGAGAGAGAAACCACTCACCCAGAGTGGAGCCTGACACAGGGCTTGATCTCACAACCCTGAGATCATGACGTGAGCTGAAATCGAGTCAGACGCTTAACCGACCAAGCCACCCAGGTGCCCCATTTTGTTTTCTTTAAACAACACAGATACTGTGGGTTCAGGGCTTGGAGAGGGCGGCTTCCCCATACATATAGTACTAGGTTTCCCCAAGTCAAGGCTATCATCTGAGGCCTGGACTAAAAGGAGCATAGAAAACTGTCTTGTACACATAGCAGTAATTTTAGGAGTACCTATGGCCTACAGCCATCACTTGATCTTCGGTGAATAACCGCCCCCCCTCTTTAAAGCA